GCTAAGCTAATTAAATATTACAACACAAACTAATTTAATTACTCTAAACTGATTAAATAAGTAAACTAATTAGCTACAACTAATTAAGCTAATTATTACAACACTTAAATTAATCAACTTGCTATTAATTAAAATAAGATTTATTCACAACTAAAACAATTAATCGCATTTGATATGAGCATAATGGAAGATGAATGGAGGTTGTATGTGCAGCGCTTGAAAACTACTCTGTCTGCCCAGGCCATCTCTGTTTCACTTTTAGCCACTGCCTTTGTTTCTGCAAATTTGCACTGTTGGCCACACACCGAGGACCAGCCATGCATCACTTACAGCCGGTCAGGTCTACAAATGACCGGTCATTCATCAATTTGGTGCAAAGCTCTGTTTTTGTGTTCTGAGGTGAAATCAGTGCAGATAGAGCATTTTCAAGCTCTGTTTGTCCTTCATTTCTTCTTTGTCATAGGAAATCCTCGAGAGTAGGTTGAAATTGATTCCAAAACCATCAATGAGCAATATGACTGCTTGATGATCTCAGATTCAATTTTGGACAAAAGTTGATAAAAATGCAAAGAATAGGACCACCCAGAGGACAAACAGAGCATGGCAATGCATTTTCAAGGCAATGTGTGCACAAACACCCTCCCTATCATGTCATGAACTCAAGGGAGTGTAGTGCTCGACCCTCGGGCCATCAATCACTCATGTCGATGCATGATGGCCAAAGGAGCCAAGTGTACGATTCAATATGGAATGAATGCACAAAAACACATGAATGCCTAGAACTCTATCATGTTGGATCAAGAGTGTCGGCGACCGAGGATTGAGGCACGTTTCGTCACTTCAAGTATGAACTTTCCTCGTTCCTCATGTTTGGTTTGAGACCCCAAAACCAAACACAATGCAATGCAAATATGCCAAGTACAATGCAACATGGGGACATTATGCAATGCACAAGACTAATGGCATGCAAACAAACCCAATGCAATATGAGTATGCAAGCAAACCTGCAAACAACCCAAGCATGCAACAAGTATGCATTAATGTCATGCAATGCAACTAATTATGCAATAGACATGCAACCTAAACATGCAAACATGTAATGTGCCAAGCATGCACAATGTAATGCAGTCTAAGCATGCGAGCATATAATGCAAACCACATACCTAATGGACTTATACCGAAGATGGACAGACCTCAGCCATGCCACAATCAGTGACCAAAAGTGCTAAAATGATGGTGCCAAAGTACAAAACAAACATGCATGCCAATTGGCCCCTAGGCTAGGTGACAAGGAGACAACTCTTAAGTGCACTTAAAGAGTAACAAATATGGATATATGACAGCGCCATAAACTCTGAAATGATGTTAGGAATGATGCCAAACCGCACATATAACACAAACAAAGCATGCAAGAAGGCTCAAAGCTTAAAGCTAGAAAAGGGACTTGCACAATGGCCACATCAACCAAACCCCACAGGGCCAAGGTGACCCAAAACAGTCCCAAGTAAGACCAAAACAACGCTAGAACATGCATGGAATGAGGCCAAAACATGCTAGAAAGGTGGGCACAAAGCATGAGACGTGCAAGGATAACAAAGGGGTGTTACACTACACCTATCAAAACCAAACATGGCATGATTTCACCAACTAAAACCAGAGTTATGGAATATCAAAATAAGCCCAAAACCCCACTTAGATGGCATCCCAAGGACCTAAGCATGGAGACAAACATAATGGTCCAATCATGAGGCATAAGACATCAACTCTTTAAAGCTTTGAAAGGATGACAAGTGCAAGTATACGAACATGAAACATGGATTGAAATAACATATGGGATGATGCCAAATCATTGAAATGAGCCAAGTAATGCACTCATGTGACTTAGACCCTCAAAGCTAACAAGCTAGGGTGCCTTATGGCTATACAAAGCATGGCATATATGATCAAAACAACACCAAACAGAGTTTTAGCATGCTGAAATATGACTAAAAGTTCCTTTGAGTTGAGCCAAAATATGCAAGCATGATGGTCTAAATGCATGATACATGTTAACGCAAATAAGGGGATTGCAAGGCAAATGCATGGTGCATGCAAGAAGCCATTAAACCAACTTTGGACAGAGGTGTAACATGGCAAAATAAGGCCTAATACATGTTGAAATGAAGTCAAAACATGCTAAGCAATCATGCTACCATTATGAACCAATTACACAAGCATATGAGACACAAGGAGAGAGGGGGGTCCCTCTCCTATACAAGACTCTAAAACTACCTTTCCACCACTGAAAATCCTCTGGATTTCAGTGGTAGAAAGGTCATGTGAAGGTAAGAACAAAGGCCAAAAGAGGTGGCTCAAAACAAGGCCAAACAAAGCCTAATAGGGGGTAGATAACCCCCAACCAAAAAGTGACCTTAAACAATCATCTTAAGCACACAAAAATAGAAATTTTTTTAGTTTATAGTTAAGCTTAAAACAATATGAAAATAGGTCTAAAAGCTTAAGCCAAAATGGGGAAACAAAAGGTTAGTTGCTCACCCTTGAAAAACACCTTCAAGAACACAACTCCAGCCACTCCCTTGGATCAAAACCCGCCCAAGAACTCTGAAACCAACTTCCTAGTGCCTCAGCAATCAAAGGAAGGTATTCTACTAGGTGCTATAGTGCAAAAGTATGAACAAAATACACCTCTAAGGCACTAACACACACACAAATATATATATATAGAGATATATATATATATATAGAGAGAGAGAGAGAAAGAGAGAGGGATATATGAACTCTATATCTATTTTGCTGAACCTCTGGAAAGGGAGGGGAGGCTCCCCTCTTATAGGAAATCAAATTCAAAGCTTCTTTGAGAAGCTAAGCTTTGGTTCAAATCACTCCATACACGTGTATGGAGGGGAGAGTCTGTGCTTACCAGCTGGCACAGCTGGCATGCACAATGCCTGAAAAAGGCAAAGAAAAGGGCTCGACTAGAAAATATGGCCGATCGACCAAAATAAGTGCCAACCGACCAACAAAAGTGCCGACCGGCCAACATTTATGGCCGATGGCATCATGCCATAGTCGATGGGGTGTGGGGATGGCCAACAAGCCACCCTCTTCCCTCAGAACCAAAACCACGAGTCCTTAGTCCACAACCAAGCACAAAACCGACAAGTTGAGAGATCCTAGGGCAATGTGCGCATCCGAGACCTTTGGGAACTCAAAATGAACACGAACATGGATGATCATCGAGTGTTCAAACGATGACGTCCAAGTCTTAAGGACGGTCAAGATTAGGGTGTCTACACCTCCGTTCCAAATGATAATCACAATCGCTCAATTTGTTGGTCTCACACTGTAGATTAGAAAAAAGAAAAATATACCTCACATGTAAGACTTATCATTCAAACATGCCTACTAAGGTGGATACAAAATAATCTCTCACAAAAAAAAATCAGTAAGAACATTACTTTCCACTGAACACTACGAATCCTTCAAAAAAATGGCAATACGTTAATATATCATTTGTTTAACTATTTTAAATGCTTCTATAAAATGGAAAAAGTGTACCTCTTTGTAGAGCCCCACAAGACGCTCGCATTCTTTACGCTTCGTTAACAGTTCATAATCATATTTTTCACTAAAAAGCTTGAAGAAGCTTATAACTGCAGTCTCGAACCAATCTTTTGTAGGAACATGGAAAATGAAAGAAAGTGTCAATTGAGCTAGTGTCTTTACTTCCCTCAACAGTGAACACTAACTTATGAAAAACTTACGTCTACTAGATTATTGGTCAAATAACTATTCAAAGCCAATTTATTGATTATTTGTTAATTTTATTAAATTTTCTAATTGCTTTAGATAGTTATTATGAAGTAATAGTAAAATTTAACCAAACCTCCAAGTTGTCCAATTTTCGTGCAGAGTGGTCCTATACCCCATTTAATTACAATAATAATCAAACTAAAAAGTTTAACTACTGCTTCCATCAAAAGTATTTTTTCATTCAAATTTTGCCATAAGGAGTTGTTTTTACAAATAGCATAGATGAATGTGCAGTGGAAGAAATAATACCAATTAGTCAAGGACTCAAAATAAGATATAGAATAGAAGAGTTAAATAAAATAATTTGATATGAAAATATAGTAGATATACTTACCATAATCCCCCCTGGAACTTGAAGAAGTCCCAAAAGACGTTCCTGCCAATTGACACAAACCAAATCAAACAATTATAGAAATAAATGAAAATCAACAACCATATAAATTAGTCCCCAATATATATAATGCTTGCATTTGGGCCCATGTGATGCGGGTGCTATTATTTTTTGAAATCAAGAAGAGATTTGATGGTTGACACTGTAAAGAGTTTCTATTTTGAACATGGTTATTGGCTTAACTATTCAAAGCCAATTTATTGATTATTTGTTAATTTTATTAAATTTTCTAATTGCTTTAGATAGTTATTATGAAGTAATAGTAAAATTTAACCAAACCTCCAAGTTGTCCAATTTTCGTGCAGAGTGGTCCTATACCCCATTTAATTACAATAATAATCAAACTAAAAAGTTTAACTCCTGCTTCCATCAAGGGTATTTTTTCATTCAAATTTTGCCATAAGGAGTTGTTTTTACAAGTAACATAGATGAATGTGCAGTGGAAGAAATAATACCAATTAGTCAAGGACTCAAAATAAGATATAGAATAGAAGAGTTCAATAAAATAAATTGATATGAAAATATGGTAGATATACTTACCATAATCCCTCCTGGAACTTGAAGAAGTCCCAAAAGACGTTCCTGCCAATTGACACAAACCAAATCAAACAATTATAGAAATAAATGAAAATCAACAACCATATAAATTAGTCCCCAATATATATAATAGAAGATAGCATACATACTTTCAACAAACTGCTTGCATTTGAGCCCACGTGATGCGGGTGCTATTATTTTTTGAAATCAAGAAGAGATTTGATGGTTGACACTGTAAAGAGTTTTCTATTTTGAACATGGGTATTGGCTTGCCATTACATATTTGTCCCTTTCTGTGGTAAAGAAACACAAATCAGTCTCATTGCCAATAATACATAATGAAGTTCAAGAGAGTTTTATACTATTAGGGTTAGGGGAACCGGTGGTTTAGATGACAGATGTGGAGCTCATAAGGCTCTGATAAGTGATGGAGCAGTATATGCACAGGTAGGAAAGGGCCAAGGCTTCTGACAAAGGAAAGTTTCGCTGATATATATATATATATATATATATAAACAAACACAGATTTTATGACAAGAATGTCAGACTTTTACCCTTTGGATTAGACACCCGCAAAGTCTGCAAAAACTCTTCTGCAAAAGTGACACCAAGAAACAACATAATTTAAATTCAAATAAATAAAAGAAGATACCAGAGAGAGAGCGAGAGAGAGAGAGAGAGAGAGAGAGAGAGAGAGAGAATAAAAAGCAATTATTAGCCTTCAAACTGCCCCAAAGTGAAATAATAAGCAGCAAAATTCTTGACTAAGCATCATTGAGGTTAACTATAGAAATTATATATATAACAAATAAGAGGTGATGAGGTGAAGTTTCCATTCCATCCCCAAAAATGTTTCAGTGTACACATCCGAAGCTTGGCCATAAGCCCAATTGTAGACTCCAATACTGAAAAAGAAAAGAATAGGAAAGACAATCCTTCCTTGAATGCCAAAATATTAAAAAAAATATGAAGCACAGTGAACGGAGGAGATGAAGTGGGTTCAAGATGACCAATCCAAAATGGATTACCCAACCCCATTGCCATTCCTATCCAAGGCTGAATTTTTATTTATTTATTTATTTATTGGTACCGGGGTGTCTGGATCAAAGCCCAACTAATCTCCAGGGGTGCACAAGCCCTCGGTAAGGAGTTTCCTGCACCACGGTTAATTCAAGGGTTCTCTCCCAGTCCAATGGCCCTAAGGAATTGTTAGCACCTAAGAGGTTTCAATCCCTAAACCTTAAAGGAAACACACCCCCAAGACTCAAGGCCTTTTCACCAGGCCATCCCCTTAGGGTTCAATACAAAGCTGAATTTGGCACAACATTCATGTCTTCTAATAAATTACAGAACATTGTGTCATCCTCTTAAGCATAAAGACAATATGCCAGGCCAAGTACTATTGGATAGAAATGCTAAAAGTATTAGAAAAGGGAAATAATGAAAAACAATAATAGGTCAAGGAGTCAAAAAATTCTATGAATATAGTCAATTAAAAAAAAATATCACCATAGAATTGGATCATAGTTTACTCTACAGATTTTCTCTGCCAGTCTGTATGGCGCCTTCTGCAAATCTACATTATCCCTAATGCTAATCCCCAATAAGTGTGCTAAAATTGTTTACCTGATATCTGTTCAACCCTCCAAGTCTACTTTTACGCCCTTCTTTAATTTTGTTGAGTGTACCATCAAAATAAGGCTATGTAAATAATTATCATATTGTTCAATAGCTTTTTGCAAAAAGTTTTCTTAAAATAAAAATAAACTTAAATTACATAAACTATTTGCTGATGTTTGTCTATACTATGCTCAGCACCCATGTGGTATTGAAATTACATAGAGCTCTCTAATTTTCAAACTGTGTAATAGAATTCTTTGGTTCCTACATACAGGGGGTAAACAGTCTTGGATTTAAACTTAGCTTCAAAAAAGATGTTTCACATGTAAAGGTGCCAACACACTTTTTGCATATGTAGAAAGTTGTGAATACTTTGAAACAGAGTAAGCCACTTTGTGAAACATATTATTGGTAAGGTCTCATGAATAATCTACCATGCAACTATAGAAAGAGAGCGAAATAGAGATTTGATTTTTCAACTAGCTAGTTTTCCTAAATTACTTTAATATTTGAATTTCTATTTTCCTAGTTTGTTTTCCTTAGCATATGTAATTTGATATGACTTATTTTATTGATTTGGACCACAAAAAATTGGAATTTAGGCAACAAACATAAAATTTACCATAAAATAGCCCAACTAATACAAAACAATGCTTCGAAATTGGATCAGGCACGATCGGATCTAGACTGAGATTCCACTATCCTATAAAATCCAACTATTAGGATGGAAAGGTCCTACTTACATGGGATTTGGAAAGCTATAGTATCGTAAGATCTTTTTGGGCCTCGATTTAGTCTCTTACTGTTAGCACGTTGACATTCGGGGAGCTAGCGACCTGGCATTTGGTGGCACCTTGCACCTACGTTAGGGTTGGACCAAAGCATGAGGGAGGCATCCCAATGTTGACAAGGTTGGCAAAGACATGTGTTGTTTGGCAATGGCACTCAACCCTTAGCCAAAGTGTGGGCAGCATGACATGTGCAAAGCATTAATATGACCTGAATGTTGACCGTAGCACACTTGGGGCTTGGATACAATCAGATGGCTTAGTTTGGGCTGAACCTATGTAACACAGACACGGACACAGACACACTAACGCGGACGCGCCAATACGTTAATTTTCAAAAAATGAGAGACACGACACGCTAAGGATGCATATATTTATATAATATACCTCATATATATATATATATATATTTAAAAATTATGAAACAACAATATAATTTAACATTAACTAAAAATTTAAACATTATAAAATCACTTTTACTCACATGGCATGGTACACAATACAATTGTCAACATAAAAAAAATATAAATATACGTATTTTGAAATAGTTATTTTGACCATTTAACTGGTTGGTGGATGCTTACTTTTTTTGACCATTTGACTGGTAAGTGACAAGATTGGTTGGTAGATGACATTTTGACTGGTAGCATTAACCCTTTTCTTGGAGTAAATAAACATTGGTTACGTAGGAATAAAAGAAAAGAGTCCAGATCCACTCTCTCTCTCTCTCTCTCTTCTCTATGTTGCAACAAGATGTTCCTGCTTTCATCGTAGTAGAAGCTTTGTTTTCGTCTTTCTATCATCCCAATGTCACAGATGGATCTCGTCTCAAGCAGTTCTCCGAACCGAGGCTATGGAGCTTCGATTCAGGGACTACTCTTTCTCCTCTCTCTCCTTTCTCTGGGAAAAGCTTCAGGCATATCTCAAACGTGTCAATGAAGTGTCTAGACGTGTCTGAGATGAAAAATAAAAAATAAAAAAAAGAGGCCACGTCAGACGGCGTGTCGGACACGTGTCTACTGCGTGTCAGACGCATGTCGATGTCCGACACGCGTCGGGCTTTGATACGGAGCCTTAAGAGGCGTGCCCATGCTTCATAGGGCTGGACCAAGGCCAGCACATGTGCAATTCGAAGACAAGGTAGCATGATTATTGGGGCGGTTATTAGCAGTTATGCAAGGCCAAAGAATTCTAATATCGGTAGTTATTGGCAATTGCATGTCTATGGCACGTTGGAAAGGGACAAGGAAGACTGAAAGTTAGTAGCAATTAGTGGTAGTTAATTTTGTAGGCCTTGTTTCAAATCTGTCCTAACCCTTTGGCAGTTCAGGGTGTCAACTGCCATGCCATGTGGCATGTTCCCCTTATACCTTGTTGCCTATTTGAATTTCGAATTTAACTGATAGTAGCCTATTTATGGGCATGCCATGGTTACTTGAAAATGGTCAAGTAATAGAGTGTCATTGGCTATCCTTCATATTATTGTTGGTGCAATAAAAAAGTTGGGTTTGCCCGTAAACATGGCTATGTTTGTGCATTCTATATTACTTGTCTAAAACCTCATATTGTGTGTGTGTGTGCGCGTGTGTTGGATTGATTGGTTGACTAAGTGTGCTGAAACTTACTGCCATCGCAAGAAAAATTTGACTCGGAAAATTAACCCTGTGACAATTGGTATCAGAGCACGGCTTGCTCAAAAATGGATGCTCTTCAAGATTAAGTTGCTCAATTGAAGAGTTTGGTGGGGGCGCCCACTGAGGAAAGTCGCTCTCTAGTAAATCAGTTGGATGTTGTGTTTGATCGGTTCATTGCCCTTCAGACAGAGACAACAAATCAATTTAAAGGGGTCAAGGAAGACATGATCGCCATGACGAATGCGTTCAATGCCAAGATACAGAACATGGAAGACGAATTGTTTATCTTGAAGAAGGCAGTGTGTGGGCATTCTATTCATGGCAAAGCCCCTTTGAAAGTAAAAGTTCCTGACCCTAAGACATTTACAGTGCTCGCAATGCCAAGGAGCTTGAGAATTTCTTATAGGATATGGAGCAGTATTTCAAGGCTACTCATGTTCTTGATGCGGAGAAAGTCACGATCACAAGCATGTATCTCTCTGGGGATGCAAAGCTTTGGTGACGAACAAGGATGGAGAAAGAAGCCCATCCTGTGATCAAGACGTAGGAGTTATTGAAGAAAGAATTAAAAGAACAATCCTTCCTTGCAACTCATCTTGGGTTGTAAGAGATGCGTTAAAAGTGACTGAAACACACTAGTTTTGTGCGGGATTATGTAAAGAAGTTCAGTTCGTTGATGCTTGACATCAAGAACATGTCGGAGGGGGACAAACTCTTTAACTTCATGTCAAGCCTACAAAGTTGGGCGCAATTGGAATTACGTCGACAGGGGATCAAGGATTTAGCCACTGCTATGGCTGCTGCAGATGGGTTGCTTGATTGTAAATTGAGCAAGGATCCTATGCCGGAGACCAACAAATATAAGAAGAAATTGAAAAAGAAATATAGGGAAAAGAAGTCTGGTTTCAAGAAAGGGAAGGACCATTCTAAGTAGAAAGGGAAGGATCATTCTAAGTACAAACAAAAGGGAGAGTTTTCTTTCCATTCACAAAATGATGGCAGAAAGTCGAACAAAGGATGTTTCATATGTGATGGACCCCATAGGGCAAAAGATTGTCCTAAGTGAGAGAAGTTGAATGCTATGGTGGCGGAGGACTACGAAGGGGAAACGGATTCTGAAGGCCCAACTCGTGTAAATCCCTTACACTTACTCAGTGCAATTCATGCAGATAAAGCCCCTTTGACTGGTCTGATGTACTGGCATAGAGTAGTGGGGAAGTCCTGGCTAGGGTAGACACAAGAGCCACTCAGAACTTCGTCTCTAAAAAGATGGTGCAATTCCTCAGTTTACAAGTTTCCGAAAGTCCAAGCCAGATCAAGTCCGTGAACTCTATTGCACAACCTATGCATGGAATGGCTTCCAAAGTGCAGATCAAAGTAGGGGAATAGGTTGGACAATTAAACTTGATGGTGGTGCGGTTGGATGATTTCGATGCCATCCTTGGAAATGATTTATTTGTAACTACCAAAGTGGCATAAATGCCTTATCTTGGTGGGTTACTTATCTTGGATGAAGACAAGCCTTGTTTTGTTCTTGGTCAGGGGAGGCCAGACAAAGGCAAGGGTATGATGAAGAAAACAGAGATGCTATTAGCAATTCAAGTGCGCAATGGCCTAAAGAAAGGCGTTGGAACTTACTTTACAGCCTTAGTGGAAATCAAGCCTGATGTGATGATGGAAGTGCTTGATGAAGTTGTTGTAATGTTAAAGGAATTTGCAGATGTGATGCCTCTGAAATTGCCTAAGTCTCTACCTCCTCAACATGCCACAAATCACAAAATCAAGTTGGCTCCTAGTGCAAAACCTTCAATAAAGGCACCTTACAGAATGTCTCCAATGGAGTTAGCAAAGTTGCATAGGCAATTGACGGAATTGCTGGATGTTAGACGGGTTCAGCAATCCAAAGCCCCTTGCGGTGCCCCTGTGCTCATCCAAAAGAAGCAAAACGGGTCCATGTGGATCTGTTTAGACTATCATGCCTCAAACAAAGTGACAATCAAGAACAAATATCCAATTCCTTTGGTGGCTGATCTCTTTGACCGTTTGTACAAAGCCACTTACTTTACCAAATTGGATCTATGCTCCGAGTATTGGCAAGTAAGAGTGGCTTAAGGGGATGAGTCCAAGACCAAATGTGTTACTAGATATGGGTCATATGAATTTTTGGTTATGCATTTCGGACTCACAAATGCACCTGCTACATTTTGTAACTTAATAAATGATGTTTTTTTTTATTATATTGATCGTTTTGTTGTTTATCTTGATGATATTATAACTTATAGTGAGTCCTTGGAGGATCACTTGTCTAACCTTCGTATTGTGTTTTCTAGATTGAAGAAAAACCAATTATACATAAAGAAAGAGAAATGTGAATTTACCCAATGAGAGATCAAATTCTTGGGGCATGTTATTTGCAAAGGCCATGTGAAGATGGACACCAAGAAAGTGCAAGCCATTGTTGATTGGCCAGCACCTAGCAAAGTTCCTGAGTTGTTTTCCTTTTGGGGTCTTGCCAACTATTACAGAAAGTTCATTGAGGGGTATTCCAAAAAGACACCCTCACCGATTTTCTCAAGAAGAATCAGAAATGGAACTAGAGCGAGAAATGTCAAGAAGCCTTTAACAAATTGAAGGTTGCAGTGTCAACTGAACCGATTTTGAGGCTACCAAATTTTGAACTTCCTTTTGAAGTGCATATTGACGCATTAGACAAAGCTATTAGCGGCGTTTTGATGTAGAAGGGGCACCCAGTTGCCTTCGAAAGTCGTAAGTTGAATGTTATGGAGAAAAATTATTTTGCCCATGAGAAAGAAATGACGGCAGTGGTACATTGTCTTCTCACCAGGAGAGTTTATTTGTTGGGAACCAAATTCTAAGTCCTAATTCCACGTCCTAATAGATAATGTAGCGAACACTTTTTTCAAGAGGTAGAAAAAGTTGTCACCTAGACAGGCTCGATAGCAAGATTTTTTGGAGTGTGACTTCAAGGGGAAGCATAAGCCTGGTCGGCAAAACCAAGTTGCGAATGCTTTAAGTTGGAAGGTAGTTCAAGAATATATGCTTGACCTTACTACAATTGAGTCAGATATGTTGGACAGAGTTCGAGAAAATCCTGTTGGGGATGCCGCTTATCAGAAGGCAGTACAGCAAGTGAAAGATGGGATTGTCCGCAAATATTGATTAGAAGATAACCTTCTCCATGCCAAAGGAGATAGGTTATTTGTCCCTAGCAATGGAGGACTTAGACAGGAGTTACTTTGAGAAACACATGATCTGCAAAGGGCTAGACACCTAGGGATGAAGCGGATATTGGCTCTTCTATCTCATTTGTACTATTGGCCGAAGATGGGGTATGACATTGAGATGTATGTCCAGATATGCTTGATCTACCAACTAGACAAAACAGAGAGCAAGAAAGAAGCTGGTTTGCTACATCTTCTTCCTATCTCAACGAGGCCATGGGTTTCAGTTTTCATGGATTTCATATCGAAATTGCCTAGGGTGGACGCTATGCGCTCTATATTTGTTGTTATTCATCGTTTCTCAAAATATATTATCTTTATTACTACACCACATGCATGTCAGGCTAACAGGGCTGCAGAGTTGTTTTTCAAACATCTGGTAAAGCACTATGCGCTACCAGAGGACATTGAGAGTGATCGGTGTACTCGATTTACCGGACGGTTTCGAATAGTGTTGTTTGGGTTGATGGGGTCAGAATTGAAATTTTCCATAACAAACCACCCGCAAACGAATGGGCAAACTAAACGCATGATGAATGCTTTGCTTGAGGAATATTTGAGACACTATGTCACAGCAAGTCAGAGAAATTGGATGGCCCTGCTTGATAGTGCACAATTTTGGCACAACATGCACCAGTCCTTTGCAACCGGCCTTAGTCCATTTGAGTTGGCTATTAGAAATCAGTCCCTCACTCCTCATGAGGTGGCTAAATAGAAAACAGTGGGGCGTTGTCCCGCAACTTATCGTTTTGCACGTGCCGAGTAAGAGTTGCTTAAAGAGGCACAAGTTATTTTGTCTAAAGCCTTCCGTCGCATGAAGAAATATGCTGACAAGGGAAGAAGGCCACTTAAGTTTCAAGTAGGAGATAAGGTATTGCTGAATCTTACTCCCCAAATTTAGAAGAAGATCAGTAGCAAGACTGTTCATCGTGGTCTCATTCCTAAGTATGACGGTCCTTTTGAATTGATGAAAAGGGTTGGTGCAGTGGCTAATAGACTTATACTACCTAATAAGCTGAAAATTCAGCCAACATTTCATGTGAGCTTCCTAAAGCCTTATCATGAAGACATGGAGAATGCTAAGAGGAAACAAGGAAAGAGAGCCCCACCGGTGGTCCGAAAATAGTTTGACAAGGAGGGTTAAAGGATTCTTGATCACAAGACGGAGGGCATGAGCAAAAAGAACAGGTGAACCCATTACTTGGCGAAATGGAAAGGTCTGCCAGATTTTAATGCAAGTTGGGAGAAGGATTTCACGCTGTTGCAATCTGAGAAGCAAGTAGTTGAGTACTTGAAGACCCTACCAATGAGGACGTTGGCTTCTTCTGGTGGGGGTGGTTTGTTAACACCTTGATATTCGGGAGCTGGTGGCCTGGCATTTGGTGGCATCTTGCACCTATGTTAGGTTTGGACCAAGGCATGAGGGAAGCATACAAATGTCGACAAGGTTGGCAAAGACTTGTGTCGTTTGGCGGTGGCACTCAACCCTTGGCCAAAGTGTGGGCAGCATGGCACATGCAAGGCATTAATATGACCTAAATGTTGGCTGCAGCACACTTAGGGGTTGGACACAATCAGATGGCTTTGTTTGGGCAGAGCCAAGGCCAGCACATGTGCAATTCGAATTTGTCTAAGGCATAGACAAGGCAGCATGATTATTGGGGCGGTTATGAGAAGTTATGCAAGGCCAAAGAATCCTGACAGCGGCAGTTATTGGCAATTGCATGACTATGTCATGTTGGCAAGGGACAAGGAAGGCTAAAAAATAAGAGCAGTTAGTGGCAGTTCATTCTCTAGACTTTGTTTCAGATCTGTCCTAACCCTTTGGCAGTTAGGGGTGTCAACTGCCATGCCATGTGGCAGGTTCCCCTTGAACCTTGTTGCGTGTTTGAATTTCAAATTTAACTGATTGTAGCCTATTTATGGGCATGCCATGGTTACTTGAAAATGGTCAAGTCGTATCCTTTGTATTATTGTTTGTGCAATAAAAAGGTCGGGTTTACCCATAAACGTGGCCGTGTTTGTGCATTCTATATTGTCTGAAACCTCATCTCGTGTGTGTGAGTGTGGATTGATTGGCTAACTAAGCGTGCTGAAACTTGGTGCCATCGCAGGAAAAATTTCAGTCTGAAAATTGACCCCGTGACACTTACCATCTTCGATTTAAAGCAGTGTGTGATATGTCAGGCATTGTTTACTTTTCTTCTCCTTTTGGGAGTACTTCTTGTCCTTCATCTCTCTAGTATTTTTTTTTTTTTTTTGATAAATCCTTCGGCTCTCTAGTAATCCTTTTCTTTTTTTAAATTATCCACTTTTTGTTGCAAATCAAAAATATAATAATAAAATGTAACATCAACCAGAATAATAAATTTTATTTCCCCCAAGTATTGCTTTATATTTACGAGAAAAAACTAATTCCAAAAAACAAATATGATATGTTCAAGCATATTTGAAGATCCAACACAACATAGAAACTACTACTCACCCTTATTGAAGTCAGGACAGCCTTCAGACCTCAGTCCCAAATAAAAATCACAATTGCTCAATCTATCAATCTTGCACTGCCAGGTAGAAAAAAGAAAAATATACCTCATAAGTAAGACTTATCATTCAAACATGCCCAATAATATGGTTACAAAATAATAAAAAATATATAAAAAAAAATCAGTAAGAACACTACTTTCCACTGAATAATACGAATCCTCCAAAAAACTGGCAATCCGTTAATATATCATTTGTTTAACTTATTTAAATGCTTCAATAAAATGGAAAAAGTGTACCTGTTTGTAGAGCCTCACAAGGCGCTCGCATTCATCACGCTTCGCTAACAATTCAAAATCATATTTTTCTCCAAAAAGCTTCAAGCCGCTTAAAAGTGCAGTCCTTAACGTCGAATCTTTTGTAGTTACAAGGAAAATGAAAGAAAGTATCAATTGAACTAGTGGCTTTACTTTCCTGAACAGAACAAATATGATATGTTCAAGCATATTTGAGGATCCAACACAACATAGAAACTATTACTCACCCTTGTTGAAGTCAGGACAGCCTTCAGACCTCAGTCCCAAATAAAAATCACAATTGATCAATCTATCAATCTTGCACTGCCAGGTAGAAAAAAGAAAAATATACTTCATAAGTAAGACTTATCATTCAAACATGCCCAATAATATGGTTACAAAATAATAAAAAATATATAAAAAAAAATCAGTAAGAACACTACTTTCCACTAAATAGTACGAATCCTCCAAAAAACTGGCAATACGTTAATATATCATTTGTTTAACTTATTTAAATGCTTCAATAAAATGGAAAAAGCGTACCTCTTTGTAGAGCCTCACAAGGCGCTCGCATTCATCACGCTTCGCTAACAATTCAAAATCGTACTTTTCTCCAAAAAGCTTCAAGCCGCTTAAAAGTGCAGTCCTTAACGTCGAATCTTTTGTAGTTACAAGGAAAATGAAAGAAAGTATCAATTGAACTAGTGGCTTTACTTCCCTGAACAGTCAACACTAACTTATGAAAAACTTACGTCTGCTAGATTATTGGTCAAACAAATATTCAAAGCCAATTTATTGATTATTTGTTAATTTTATTAAGAATAATACTATATGCACCAATTAGTGTACATAACAGATGATGTGGCATAATTTTAGAAGTTTTGGATATTTGTAATTTGTATAATAAATAAGGTCACTAATAATGTCATAACACTAGTTGGTACACTAGTTAATATACTAATTGGTGCATGTAGCACCGCCGTTTTATTAATTTTCTGATTGCTTTGAATAGTTATTTTGCAGTAATAGTAAAATTTAACCAAACCTCCAAGTTTTCCAATTTCCATGCAGAGCGGTCCTATACCCCATTTAATTACAATAATAATCAAACTAAAAAGTTGAAATTATCTTGCTTCCATCAAGGGTATTTTTTCATTCAAATTTTGCCAAAACGAGATGTTTTTACAAATAACATATATGAATGTGAAGTGGAAGAAATAATACCAATTAGTCAAGGACTCAAAAATGATATAGAATAAAAAAGTTCAATAAGATAAATTGATATGAAATTATAGTAGATATACTTACCAGTATCACCCCTGGAACTCGAAGAAGTCCCAAAAGACGTTCCTGCCAATTGACACAAACCAAATCAAACAATTATAGAAATAAATGAAAATCAACAGCCATATAAATTAATTCCCAACATATATAATGCTAGCATTTGAGCCCACGTGATCCGTGTGCTATTATTTTTGAAATCAAGAAGAGATTTGATGGTTAAAACAGCAAAGAGTTTCTTTTTTGAACATGGGTATTGGCTTGCTATTATATATTTGTCCCTTTTTGTGGTAAAGGAACACAAACAAAAAACCATCTCATGCACGGGTGTCTTAGGGAAAAATTTGTTGGGACACTACACTAAGTCAAGTGGTCATATATAATAATAGTATAGATGTTCATCTTTCAGTCTCATTGCCGATAATACAGAATGAAGTTCAGATGAGTTTTATACTCTTAAGGTTAGGGGCACCAGTGGTGTAGTTGAAAGATGTGGAGCTCATATGCCTATGATAAGTTATGGAGCAATATATGCACAAGTAAGAGGCCTCTGGCAAAGGTATGTTTGGCTGAGAAGACAAGTGGAGGAGCACAAAAAATGTTGACAGAGGAGGACAGTCTTGTCATTCAATATCTAATAAAAGATTGGAGGGGACTATAGAAGGTTTGGCTCACCATGTCCCTTTGGCACCGGCAGAGACACAACAGGGGTGGATCAACAATGGAAACTTACGGCAAGATTCAAAATCTACAACGTGAGTGGATTGGACAACTAGGAAGAACTTCTTGCCTAACAGTTGGAAACCTCTACTCCCAACTCAGAGAATAAAAACATATCCAACCTGCAACATACATGTTGGACTAAAGGCGCATTGGACAATGGTTGATCACTCAACCACAATCCCTAATAAATGCATCTAACTCTCATGCCTGTTATAACCCTAATCCGTAAGCCTTTCAAAGAAAAAACTAACAACATTAATATCAACCCCCACACACCAATTGGGAGAACAAAATCCAAAAAGCCAACAAGCTCATCCCAAAACTCAACTTTTCCTTAAGACAATTACGACCAATGTCTTGAAATTGGGACTGTTGATCAAACCAAAAAAGGACCCAACTCATGGATCCTAGTTCAATAGTCGGGTCAACTAGAATTAAACCAGAATTGATCTGTGATGTTATAATTATTTCATAAATATATTTAAACTTATACCCAAATTTTTTTTTTTTTTTGATAAATAATAGAATTTTATTGAAAAAATATCAAGATAATGCAAAGAATACAAAAAAACCAAGAGAGGAAAACAAAACTCGCCTCACCAATTACATCATCCAAAAAATCTAAGAAAGTAAACAAATCTGGATCAACCCTACACTCCAACCAACTAGACAAAGTAGATAAGAACCGATTCTCCAACCACAACACCGAATGATCAATTTCTTGAAAAGTTCTGTTCCTTTTCAGCAAAACTGACCACATCAAACAAAAAGGCACCAACAACCACACCTGTCGCTGATGCCGACCCCCCCTCCCCTCTAACTCCACAACATCTCCACAACCCCTTTTGGCTGCACCCATATAACCCCAAAAAGAGAACAAGCCAGCCCCCAAAGTTGCGAAGTACCAAAACAACAAAGAAGTAAATGATCAACCAACTCCACATTAACGCAACATATACAACAGCAGTTCACTAGTACATGCCCTCGACGAACCAAATTATCAATTGTAAGATTTCAACCTAAGGCAACCGTCCATAAAAAGAAAACCACCTTAGAAGGAAATTTAGGCACCTAAATCCTCCTCCAAGGAAACGCACCTCCCACCTCCCCCACCAAGCTCCAATAAAAGGATTAAACAGAAAACTGACCTTTACCACCCACCACATTCCAAACCAACAATTCTTTCCCCCTACCCGCTAGGCCCAACCCATATATAAAATCAAACAACTCCCCCAACTGACCCACTTCCCAATCCTGAACCTCACGCCGAAGCTGAATATCCCAAACCACCACCTTCCTACCCCACAAATAAGAAGCAACCGTGGCCTCCCGATCCCTTGCAATGCCAAAAATCAAAGGGAATCACACCTCTAACACGATCTCCCCACACCATCTATCCTTCCAAGATCTAACCTTATTCCCGATCCCCACCCAAAAATTCACCCTCTCCCAAAACTCCCCCTCCCCAACCAAATCCCTTTCCACAAACCCCTCCCATGAGATCCCATCATATCCCTTGACTGCCAATTCCCCTCAACCTCCCCAAACTTAGAAATCACCACCTTATGCCATAAATGATCCCGCTCGCTAGAAAACCGCCACAACCACTTCCCTAACAAAGCCCTATTAAACTACACCAAACTCTGCACCCCCAAACCACCCACCTCCTTGGGGCGACAAACCCGCCCCCAATCAACCAAGTGATATCTAAAATCCTCTCATCTACCCCTCTACAAAAAATCTCGCTGAGGTTTCTCTAGACTCGCAGCCATAGAGACGGGAATAACATGCAATAACACAAAGTAGGTCAGAATATTGCTCAACACACTCTTAATCAACGTCAACATTCCCCCACTTGATAGATATTGCCGCTTCCATCCTGCCAAACGACGTTGTACCTGCTCCATCACTATATACCACACCCCTTTCGCCTTGAAACTAGCACCCAACAGCGGTCCCAAGTAAGTCACCGTTAAATTTGTCACCATGCAACATAAAACCGCCGTTTAACACTGGCAACCTCCAAAGCTCCCCCACCAAGATCAGCTCTGACTAGCTCAAATTAATCGGTAAACCCGAAACTACATCAAAACAAATCAGAACACATCGTAAGAAGCCCAATTGCTCCACATCCGCATGGTAGAAAACCAAAGCATCATCCGCATACAGTAAGTGAGACACCCCAATGGTTGTCCTAGTTGGCGAGCCCACACTAAAACCCTCCAGCAAACCTTCATGTACAGCCCGAGACAACAATCTACTAAAAGCCTCCATAACTAGGATAAACAACAGGGGAGATAATGGATCTCCCTGCAGATGACCCCGATAAGTCGGAAAGAAACCTACCGGCAAACCATTCACCAAAACAAACATCCACACCGTGGATACACAGAACTTCATCCACTGACACTACTTTGCACCAAAACCCATCTGACCCATAATATATAGAAGAAATTCCCAATTTAAATTATCATAAGCCTTCTCAATATCCAACTTACAGATCAAACCAGGCCGTTCTTCCTTAATTCGAGAGTCAACACACTCATTACCCACCAAAACCGCATCCAGAATCTGCCGCCGCCCCCCTACAAAAACATTCTAGGATTCAAACACCACGTCTCGAAACCAACACTTTTGCTAGCAACTTATACACACTCCCAAGTAAACTAATAGGCCTAAAGTTCCTCACATCCTTAGCCCCCCGTTTCTTCAAAATTAAAGTTATGAAGGTCGCATTAAAGCTCCTCTCAATATGTCCAGTGGTGAAAAGGTCTCAAACATTGCCACCACATCCTCCTTGACCATACTCCAACAACGCTGGAAAAAAGCCAAAGTGAGACCATCTGGACACAGAGCCTTGTCAGCACTCATCACCTTCAGAGCCCTAAACACTTCCTCCTTTGTGAAGGCCTGCTCAAACCCCTCCCTATCTCCTACAAAGATAACATTAAAAAAGGAACCCCATCCAACCCTGGCCTCCGTGCCCCATCTTGAACCTTAAAAGCCACTACTAAACCCACAATGTCTCCTCTAATCTTTTCATCAGTAGTCAAATCTCTCCCATCCACCCACATTCACACAATCTGGTTGACCCTTCTGTGGCCATTGATATTTCGATCCCCATCTTTCAACTATAAACATTGAGATTTCTGTCTAAAACATATCTCTTCCATACGAGCCAGACGAACATAGTCTTGCCTTGCCGCTTTCCTTCTAGCCACGTCCACATCTAGAAGCCGCAAAAAACCTCCTGCTCATCCAAGGACCAAAGGATGGCCATCACTTTCACTTTCTGAACCTCCACCCAACCAAAAACCTCCTTATTCCACTTTTTCAAATCCCCTTTGAGTAATTTTAATTTCAGAGCCAACATGCAGCTAGGAGTTCAACTAACCATATACTTTATCCACAAACCGTGTCTAAAAAGCCCTCCGACTATAGCCACATATTCTTGAATCAAAAAGGCATCGGCCCACTACGAAACCCTCCACTGTCAAACATAATAGGCCAATGATGTGACACTGGACGAGGTAATCGACTTTGAACTACCTTCGAAAAATGCTCCTCCCAACCACTAGTAACCAAAAATCTATCAATCCAGTACATCTGTTGCCCATTAGACCAAGTGAAACTCCTCCCATGAAGAAACAAATCAACCAGATTCATCTCATCAATGAATGCACCGAACGCCCGCATGGATCCCTTCTCCCTAATACTCCCCATCTTCTCTACCAGCCATCTAATCATGTTAAAATCGCCCCCACACACCACTCACACACCACGGCTCTGACCAGTAATCCGCAACATCCTCCAATTCGCCCAAAAAAACCCTTCTCTGAATTTTGGACTTGCCCATACACCCCAGAGAACACCCACCTGAAATTGTCTTCCACACACCGAAATAGACAGGACACCAAAAAACCTCCTAACTCCTTACCGTCCTTCAACACCACTCTCTTATCCTAACAAAGAAGAACCGCTCCGGCCATGCCCATTGTTGGTAAGTATGTCCATTCCACAAACCAGCCACCCCCAAACCTCTCTTACCACATCTCCACCCAGCACCTCCATTTTCATTTCCTGCAAGCACACCACATCTACTTTCGCACTTCGAAGCACTGATCTGACTGCTAGGCGCTTGTCCCTATCATTCAAGCCACGCACATTCCACGATAACACTTTTAACTTCATTTCAATAACACAGGACCTCCTCGCTCTCTGCTTGGGCCCCGCCCAACCGTCTCCCCTCCATGATCATAATTAACAGAACATATTTATTTAATTATTTTTATATTTTAAGAAACATATATATTTGAAGAGCGAGCCTGGCGCAACGGTAAAGCTGCCCTATTGTGACCTTAAGGTCATGGGTTTGAGTTGCAAAAACACCACCTCCACTTACGGGGCTAAGGCTATGTACATCAACACTTCCTCAGACCCCGCATATGCGGGAGCTTTGTGCACTAGGTACGCCCCTAAAAAACATATATATTTATTTTTGATTTGTTTAAAAATAAAAGCAAGTGTTGAGAAGAAAATAAAGTGATTATCTCCATTTGAACAATTTTTTACAAAAATAACATGTCCGGTCATCTTCAGTTTCTTGAACCCGTTACTAGTTTGAATGGTTGGTCGGTTCAACAAAAATAAGCCAACTTTTTATTCAAAATAGGTTTGGTGGTTCATCTAAACCGAAACTTAGTCCGATCCAATTTTAAAACATTGATTAGGACTGCAAGCCCTTAAAAAAACTCAATTATCTAAATTCATAAATCTAATGGACAAAGAAAGTGCTCCCAAAACAATCTCACAATAAAAAGCAATTCTTTCATCCTATATAACCAAAATACACCCAAAAGCGCTACACTAGGGCAAACCTACCCACTTTCATTTATCAGTTCTATCACGTAAACAATAAACATTAGACTAAAACTTTTTGGACACTTGCTAACATCTTATTATCAAAGTTCCATAATTTGACATAAATATCTTATACCCAAAAAGATGCATTATTGTTAAGCATAATCCAATCAAAGTTTCACTTAAATTTAAAGAAGAAAAAAAAAACACGTAAATGTGTTAGAAGATGGCGTAGTAGGACGAAAAAATGGTGTAGTTACTATATATGCGTACTAGAATCTGTCCAATTATTCACTAATATGGAATATTAGCATGAAGTAATTATCATTTAATTTGTGTAAATTATGAATATATATAAATATGTAATATAATATATTCCAAAATAATATAAGACCAAGATCTAAACCACTAGTAATTGTATAACGGCTAGAACAAAGCAGAAATTGTGAGCAATCTAAATTTGATACCCAAAAAGGAAAATACAGGAATAAACCCATATACAGAGGTAAAGAGAACCTACAATAACATATAGTGCCTATCAAAATAAAGAAAAATGTTTGAGACCCCCAAAAAGCTCCCACAATTTGATCCACAATGTTATGATATGATAGGTGTTAAACTTTTAATTTGTTACACACCCAATGATATAGGGCCTAACTCCATTGCCATATTAATGTGGATGACTTTATAAGTCTAAAAGTGTGGGTCTCTAGCATTTCTTACAAACAAAACAAAAGTACTAGTACACCAAACCAAACGAAATGTAACAATAGAAGCACAAGAACTTAAAATTACTAACCTCCTCTACGACCTCCTCCGCGACTAGGACAAGGGGGCATGGTTTCAAATTCCTGTGAATTGAGTAGTTCAATTAATTTCTAATATATATTAGAGAGAGAAAAGTAAATTTGCGGTTGAATTTGATATCGCTGGCAACTTTCTAATTTTTTTGGCCAACAAAATTAAGGATAAAATTATTTGACACGACATGATAACATGACTCGAACCGTACACGAAGTTAGCAACTTAAGGCTGACCATTTCCCAACATGAACACATCTATGACACAACCCAATAACGCAAATATTAAACAAGTGGGGTTAGTACCAAATCTACATAACACGAAGTTGGCAAGAATAACCGTACAATGAAAAATTAGTTACACATTTTAATATTATTTCTACTAAAAATGATCATTACATTTTTTAATCTCTTATGTAAAAGAATAAATAAATAAACCCACCTTCATTTCTTTGATCCGAGAGCCTAACCATACTAACTCAAACCTAAGTGAAAAGCAAGAGCTTCTACCATATGAAGTAAGTACACATAATGCCAAGACCCTAAAGTAAGGATGTCACTCACTCAACTAGAAAGGTAGCAAGTGTCCACCTCAATCATAGTCCAATAAACCTATTACTAGCGGTGTTCTATCACTTGTTTACATGTTCAATGTTATATAAAAAAATCGCATTGATAAATTGACACTAATATGTATGCTACAAAAGGCATGTAGGCTCTTATGCATCTTGGTTTTTCATCAATATCATTTGAACCCTTGGCCTTTGAGGTTGTGATTTTATGGGAACATGATTCAAAATGTACTGATGAGAAAAAATTAAAAAATGAGATCTTAACACCATTATTACTTTTTCAGTTTACAAAGACCATGAGTAATCACCTTACATAAATCTACAGTCAAGAAAATTAATTCTGAATAACAAATACACTGAACCACAATACAAATTCACAATCGAATAGAATTGAAATGCAGTTTGTTTCAAATTTCGACTCAAACCCTTTTTTCCTAAACCACCTAGAGAAGCATTTTATATGAAACCATATGCCGCAATTGAATTAACATGTATTCTTCAAACCATAGTTGTCAATCCATACCGCACCGACCGATACATACCATACAGAAAAAAATAGAATACAAATAGACCAATACCATTTCAGTTAGTTTCTCAGGGAGTACTGGCCAAGTCTGTAGATACTAGACAATACTCGCCAAATTGAACGGCACGCAAGCAAAAGTGAATTTCTAAATTTTTTGTTTTATTATATATAATACCTATATATATTAATATCAAATATGTGATATGATACACGTTGTTACTCTAAAAAAACAATACAATACAACTTTAGATGGTCAAATTATATGCTTAAATTATTTACTAATAGACAATATTTTTAATATATACATAATATTATTTTGATAAATCCAAAAACATACTGATACCAGTACCAATACCAATCGAGAAAACAATATTTGTCCGGTACGAGATTAACAACCTTGCTTCAAACAACCATCAAACCAACGATTAGCAGCAAAGCTTCATAACCCATTACTTTAATTATCAATGCATCAGCGAAAACAACATCCAATCAACATGAATCAAAAGTAGGAGATAGAAGCAATTATAATTAAACTACAGAAAGAGAGAGCCCCAAATCGAAGATGGAAATTCAAACGAGATATAGGGACTGTTTGTTATAGCTTTGGGGTGATTATAGCTTATGTTAAGCTGAAAAATTTCTACTTATAACTTATTAGGTAAGAATAGATTAAATAAGCTGAAAATAAAAAAAAAATAAAACTGATTATTTGGAAGTTGAGAGCAGGATTTCCAACGTTTTTCTTTTCAAAAAAAAAAAAAAAACTAGGGAAGCTGAAGCTGTTGGCTTTAATTTTAACCAAACAGTCTTTTGTAGCTTTTAAAAAGCCAGAATCAGTAATCTGCTCAAAATAAGCTAGAGCAAGCTACTGTTTTTTTATTATCAATTTTAGCTTAAAAATGCTACACCAAACAAGCAGGGCCATGCCCAAATGCTGAAAGAAAATCAGACAAATCTAATAGATCTACCGCAAAAACCAGGAAAATCAACAATAAACATGATCAGTACGTGCAGATTTGAAGGAAATCAACGGCAGCTCCTCACTCTGTGTTCAGTATGAAGAGAGAGAGAGAGAGAGAGAGAGAGAGAGAGAGAGGTGATCAAGCTTTACCGTCCAGAGATCAAGAGAAATTGGTGACGCCTAAATGGTTTGCGGTTGCTCTAGTTGTTCTTGTTTTCTCCAGTTTGTGGGCTTCGATGGCTCCGGGGTCGATTCGACAAAATAGTCGTTTCGAAGGTGCTATATAAGTGTAATTTTTTATTTTTTTATTAAAAAATTATAGAAAAAAAGATATATGTTTTGGATAATTTTTTGATTTTTTATAAAAAGATGTATAATAAAATATTTTAGTAAAATCAAAATGACTATTTTGACTTTTTAACTTTTTGGATAGTTGAATTTAAATGGTAAAATAATAATTTTGTCCTAGGGGCTTCCCTCACAAGATACCCTTGAATAGTGTAGATTTTTTATGTTTCTTAGTAATTTTTTGACTTTTTTACTTTTTTTAGTTTATCCCAGACAAGGCAAAGACGAAGTTGTTTGAGATGAAGAGAGAGAGAGAGGTTTGAGGCAGAGTCTGCGTTTGAGAGCAATGTTTTGAAAACTAGGCTGGTGAGCGAACCGAAAAATGGATTGGGTGGACGGGTTATTGGTTCAACCGTCAGGTCAAAAGGGTTGAACCGTGACGTCATAATTAATAATATATCCTTATACTCTTAGTATAATATTTCTCACTCTGTCATGTGCTTATAATTGTTTACCACTTTTAGGTGAAATGTCAGGGTCGGCGCGTGGGGTAGACACAAAGCACTTGTTAGACATTATTCAGCTCTGACAATTTAATTAAATAGAAGTTCCAATGATTATTTTGATACTCTCACTTAAATATTATTTCCGCTCACATTTATTTATTTGTTTAAGAATTGGCCGGAGGTAATTTTAGTTACTGACCATTACGATACTTAACCCTTGAGTACGGGGAGTGGATCATGACAGAGGAGACTCTAGAAGTAAGAGCTTTTAGTTAAAATTTTGAAATATATATATATATATATAAGAAAGAAAGAAAGAAAGAAAAGAAGAAAAATAAAAGATTTTCGAACTGGTGGGTTAATTCAAAACCGGAACTGGGTCACTGGTTTTTCCGGTTGAACAGGTGGTTCTACCGATTTTGATAATCTAGGCCAATTTTCAACCAAGTTTGGTTTTGAGGGTTCTTACGAACCGGAACTAGGCCCGAGTCCCGATTCAACCAATCCGACCGGCCGGTCCAGTTCAGGTTTTAAATCATTGTTTGAGAGGAGAAAGAGAGAACGGTTTTAGAGGCTTTGGGTCTGATAGAGAAAGATAAACAGGATAGACAAAAGGCCACGTTTCGGAGTAGATTGGATAGGACTGTCAAGATGGTTAGTGAAGATACTATTAATGTGAGAATTGTTAGTAAGAAAACTAAATAAAAATGTATTTGTTTTGGTGATAATATGGGAGATGATTAGTAATGGGATTATTAAATTATTTTTATATTAAAAAAATAAGTGCACTTGGTAAAAAAAATTTAAAAAAAATTATATAAAATAGACTTAATCCTCTCAATATGTTCTTAATCCCACCCAAAACCCAACCAGGCTAATACCCCGAGGGAGATTACTAAACATGCTCTAGGTGGAACCCACAACCATGGTAGTCCAATCTAGCCACTCAAGCTGCAAAACAGACATGGCCAAAAGGTTTATGCGTGTGAGTCCAAAATGGAAAGAGAGGGTGCCAACATATTCACGCCATTTGGGGGTTACAATTTCGAGCTCTAAATCATTTTTCTTTTCAAAATAGGATATATTTCTTCTTTTTTATCAGAAAAAATAAGATAAGTTTGGATAAGAGTTTTGTGACTTGGCCGTGTTTGGCTAGACACTATTTAATTAAAATACTTGATAAAAATAAAAGGGTAAATTACAAATACACTCTATGAGATTTGCTTAAAGTACAAATTATCCCCAATGATTTTCATTACTAAAATAATGAAATTCATAATTGTTTTCCAATACAATAATAAAATTACTTCAATTATTAATTGAAACATATTTCTAATATCATTAAAAACTATTAATTGATTTTATGATTTATTAATAAAAATGGCGATTTGTTATGAAATTAGAAACTTCAAGGGGTGGAATGTGATTTCCAGAATCACATGGGGTGATTTGTATTTTAATCAAACCTTAGGGGGTGTATTTGTAATTTACCCAAAATAAAATAGGATAAAATAATAATAAGATAAAATTTAAAAAAAAATATTTTCACACACCCTTCTATCTCTGTGTACGTCATATCTCAGTTCACATACTTGGTAAATTTGAAAAAATATATTTTACTAAGTACTTAACTCGTTATACCAGAAATACCCTCTTATTCATCTTTTCAATACTAACCCTAATCTCTAACCCTAGCTAACCACTGTCACCACCTCCACCATAGCCGTCGCCATAGCTTGTCGTCGTCGTCTTCTCCTTTTTCTCTAACGAATCTCCTTCTTTCTCTACATGCTTCACCACCGCCGGCCTCACTCCCAAACCTTTTCTTATCCTCTTATTCCCTCTACCACCTCTCCATCACCTTCCCACTATTGCCGCCGCAACCTTTTATCACATCTCCTCCTCCTCATTCTTCTTCTTCTTCTTATTTTCTTCTTTAACCCACCGGAGTAGCCACCAATGATGAGACAACTATCTCAAGGATCAAGACCTTTTCATCGAACGCAATTGCAACGGCTAGAAAAAGATAGAAGTTTCGAATCGGAGCTTGAAATTAATGATTGGTGATGGTGCTTTCTAGTTTGTGCGATCGGACTCCTACAAACCCTACAATGGGGAAGAATAAGAAGATAGAGAGAGAATGTATCGGGGTTAGGCCAATGATGGTGTCGGTGATGGAATACGCGATTATGATAACGAAGATTGCAATGGAAGGAACTGTAAGAATAGGCCATCATGAGGTGACGGAGATAACTGATAATGGTTTTGGTAGTCAAGAGAAGAGGCCGGTGGTGATGTGGTGACTGGTTAGGATTATTATTTTTTTGTGGTTTGAAAATTAGAGTTTTGGATGCAGAAAGTAAAGAGTATTTTGATATTTTTATTTTAGGATAAAAATGTAATTAAAAAAAATTCATGAAGTGTGTGGAGTGAGAGAAATTTGTGTGTGGAAATATAATATTTCCAAAGATTTACATATAATCCATAATCATTTTACCTTGTCCTAAACCACAAAAAGAAGCATTTTATATGAAACAGAATTGGGCAATTGAATTATATGTATTCTTCAAAGTACCATAAACCAACAATTAGCAGCAAAGGTTCATAACCCATTATTTTATAAGTAAATTGGTAATAAATCCAATCTAAAGAAGGTATTAGGTCCGATGGATATTTTTTTGTTGGCGAGAGATCCCTCATTTTTGAAATAGTTTGGTGAAAAGTCATTTTGTTTGTTTTGAAAGACATTCAGCATGCTTGGTTGCCATTTTTTGAAAAAAATTTTGAAAAAATGATTTGAAAACTGTTTTTTGAAAAAAAAAATGCTTGTTTGGTTTTCAGAAAAATATATCATTATAATTTCAAATTTCCCTCCAAATTAATGATTGAAACAATTAAAAAAACACAAAAAAATCACATCAAAACATTCTCTCAGATTTTTTAAATATATATATATACATACATATATGTACCTATATGTACCTATTCTACTAAAGCCTACCTATCTCATTTTCAATGCCTACCTATATGTACCTATTTTACTAAAGCCTACCTATCTCATTTATTTTTTTGAAAACATTACTCATTTTTTAGAATAACCAAACAAGTTGTATAAAATTTTCAAAAAATCATATTCAAAAAACCACAACCAAACACAGTGATTTTATTTCTAATTTTATCCTTTCATTTATCAATTGACTTTTTCTATTTGTTGATTTTTTTTGACTACCTGTTCAAATTTATATCTATCTATTTAAATTATTTTCAATTTGTTCAAATTTTTTGTCTATCTGTTCAAATTTTGTCATATATGTTCAAACTTTTTGTCTATCCGTTCAAATTTTGTTATATCTGTTCAATTTTTTTGTTTATATGTTCAAAAATTTCCCCTTATTTGTTCAAAGAAAAAAGATTGGGAGCTCTAAATTAACAGCTCTAATAGCTCTAATTGGTGTGTGGGTTCCATGTGATGTGATGTCTTGGCCTTTTTTTTTTTTTTTTTTGATTTTCCACATCATTAGTGCTCTTTTAGAGCTCCCAAATTACAGGTGTGTATCATTTTTGTTGTTCAAATATCTATCCAAATTTTATTATCTATTTAATTTTTTTCTTATTTGTTGAAATACCAAGCAAACCAAATCCTATCTATTGAAATAGAAAGCAAACCCAACTCATATTTGTTGCAATACCAAACCAAAACAAACCCTATCAGTTTAATTTTTGTTCGTCTGTTCAAATCGTTCTCTTTATCTCTCTCTCTCTTTCTTTCCCTGCCTATCTATTGCAATCTGTTTCATGATAATGTCATTGAAAAAATGTATGGTTTATTGGAAAAACGTATGGTTCAATCTTATAATAAAATAAATTCTAAATTTTTAATATTATTAATTTAATTTTTAAATATATTTTTCAAGGAATTGTAAAATAAGATTATTTGTTTAGTTTTGAATTTCAAAAAAAAATTATATTCTATGAATTTAAGAAAAATATTGGAGAATAACTCCCTCTTCATTCCTCTTCCGCTTCTTCAATTGATACCATGAAAAGTTAATCAACATAAATCTTATCATTTCAAAAGTTTCCTATCTCCTATCTGAAAATATTAGGGTTTTTATTTGATAATTTTGCTTTTTTTTATTTATTGGATTTTCACTGACTTTTGTTTAAATGTTTCTGGGTATATCTCTAATGTGCATTGATGTGAATTATGATAAAAGTGATTTTTTTTTTTATCAATCGGTGTGAATTAATTTTAATGTTTATCTTACTGAGGAAGTAATCTGTGTTTTTTAATTTTCTTGTTCGTCATATGTGCAAGATAAGATAATCGAGTTTTGTGCACCATGTTTTTCATGATGAATTTTATAATTGTCCATATGTATGTATCTTGATGTCTTTGTATTTGAAGAACAAACAATAATTTGGCAAGTTTTGCTCAACTCTTCTGAAGCTGAAAGTTGATAAGCTGGAGCTAAAATCACACATTTCCTAGTTTCAAGATAATCAACTTTTCATTCAACTTATTTAAGTTATATTTGCTTCATAAGGTATAACTGAACTACACCAACCAAACTCTCTGACGCAAATTCACACACAAAAAGAAAAAGAAGAGAAGAAGCTATAAGCTAGTTGCTTCAAACAGGGTGAATATAGCTTTTGCTGCATCTCCTTTGGGCCATGTATAGAAGTTTTCCTGAAAATTAGAATACTCTATTTTTGTTATATATATATATATAGATATATTATTTTTTTGATAAATTATACTTTTGTTATATTTGTGCAATTTTCTATACAAATTGCAATCTCCAATGGGATTATAGTATTCGTTATAAAATATACTATACAATTAACTAGTGTTTGGTTCATTGGAATGGAATGATTATTCCATCAAAATGTTTATTCTCATGTTTGGTTAGATTAAAAAAATAATAAAAAATACATTACAAATGGAATCATCATTCACCATTGTAATGGAATTGTCATTACATAGTGGAGTCTTAGGAATCATCATTCTATTCTATTCCATATGATTCCGGTGAACCAAATAAAGCATTAGATTACGTTATTTTATAAAGATCAAATAGCACACCATCGGCAGTGAAAATGGGGTATATTGGTTTTCATAATTCTCAATTATTAGTCCTTGGTGACTGTTGTTTTGATATATATATTTCCAAAAGGTTTCTCTATTGTGCACGCTGTGGCTTTGAATAGTTTCTCATGCACACTTTGGGAATGAGGGATTCAATTTTTTACTACTTTTGTAGGGTTGGCTCTTAATTTGTGTATTTGATATTGCAGAGTTTGTTAGAAATGGCTGAAACAAAATCATCCATGAGGAAACCAATGTTCACTAAGGTTGATCAGCTGCGCCCTGGCACCAGTGGACACAATCTCATTGTGAAGGTTGTTAGTTCGAATATGGTATTACAGAAGGACCACCTAGATGGTCCCCAAGTACGCCAAATGCGGACTGCTGAGTGCTTGGTTAGAGATGAAACTGGGACAATCGTGTTTACTGCAAGGAATGACCAGGGTAATGTTCCTTCTGGTGATTTGATTATTGTTCTTGGTGGGCTGGTTTAATAAATCTATTGCATGCAAATCTTTTTATTCTAGTTTTTTTGTTTTTGTTTCTTATTGCTCTCTCTCAATGATTTGCAAAATCATGGTTCAGGAACCATGAGCAGTAAGGTTATCTTTTGATATATGTTTTCTGTACTCACTAATATGTTGTTCCTTTTTTCTTTCCTGGCTGTTGTTTTAGCAATTATGCTTTGAAGTCCACTTTTCTTTACTGATAGATGACAAGAGTTCTCTTTCTCTTTATTCTTATCATTTCTTACCAAATCACTTGATCTGAACGAGCTGTTAGGGATATTAAGTGAGATTTTGGAATTTTTTCTGAAATTCCAGAGGGTTTCTCTTCTTTATGATTTGTGTTAGTTTTATGGTGCAATTTTTGCTTTTACACACGTCCCGTTATCAATCAGACATAAAATACATCTCAAATATTTTTTTGAAAACATATATTATTAGAGACAAAAGATATCTCAAATTAACTTCAACATGGAACACGGTACAAGTTAGGATTGGTTAAATGTCTCTTTCTTCTGCTATTGTGGTTTGTTTAGTGACCTGCTTTTTTTTTTTTTTTTTTTTTCTTTTTTTTTTTTTTTTTTAAGGTTCACAACAAAAACTAAATATACCTTCAATCTTTTTTCTTTCTTTTTAAAGATGAGAAACCAACAGATAAAGTAATGACCTACAGATCAGATCAAGCAAAACAGAACAAAACCAGAAAATCAGTGCAGTCCACTCAGCTCCTGGCTCAAATAAACAGACCAAACAGACCTACACTCCTATGCATAGCAAACCCAGAACTACACTGCAGCAACACAGCAAAATGGACTGCATCCATACAAAACCATGACTGGGAAACCAGACTTCACCCTGGTTAGCACACCCCTCAGCACCAAAACCAATCCAACATATCAGCACCAGATTTGAGAGCAAAGCTGAAGAAGATCCCTTCAGCGCAACATAACAGCAGCATATCAGAAATTCACTTCAGACCTTAGCACCACAGACTAACAGAAGACAGCACCAAGGGAGGACCACTTCAAAGAACAGCAACCATTACACAGAAAACGGCAGAAGAAGAGTTGGTGAGAAACCAACGGAGGAAACAAAAAAATGGATTGGACTCCCCCCAACAAGGACTCCACACAAAACATGGACTCCATCCAACAAAAGCAGAAAGACCAGCAAGCATAACAGGACAGATGAGGTACCCACTGATGATGACCAACTAATCAGATCAAACCATATGATTCTAGCCACAACCCACCATTGAAAGCCAAATCCAGCAGATTCTGTTCAGAAACAAAGGCAAGAAGTGCAACAAAACCAGCCCAGCAAGCCACTGGAATATTGACAGTTAAGACTGTAGCAGACCATGCCTCACCCCTGAAATATTGTAGAGAAAATCTGAAACCGAGAAATGGAGCTTGTTAGAAGCAGCCTTAATCGAGAGAGCCAGCCTTAATCCACAGAGCCAGCCTTAATTTGGTGTTTACTTGTTTTTTAATCCTCTGCACTAACTTGATCTTCGCTTGAAATTTTGAATGTATGCTATCATGCATGTTTATCATTGATATTTGTTGCACATATTACTTTCCTTCTACATATTTATGAGTTGGTGATTGGCTTGGTGATATTATGTTCTATTTCTTGAATCTTATATATTTTATATTGAGTTTTACTTCAAAACTTGTTTTGTTCTGTGGACAACAGAATCTAGATTTGCTTCCATGTTTTAGATAGAATCTAGGTTACAGGGACTCGGGTACGAGTATCGGGTGCGGGTGCGTATCTAGGGGTCGGACACTTCAAAATTAAAAATTAAGGATACGTGGATATGTGTAACGCCCTCAAAATGAACCCATTATATTTACATCATTGACATGCAATATTTAAAGAAAACACTTTGATAATTCATTATAATATTCATCAGAGTCTTACTAAACAAAAGCATTACATGTAACATCAAATTAAGTGCCCTACAGGCTTACATCTTTCCAAGCCAACACTTGGACACAAAAGTATGAGTTCTAACTCAAATACAAATAAAGCCCTAGGCTTGTGTGTTTACATGTACTAATAAATGAAAGCAAATAACTGAAAATAATCTTCAAAATCCAAGTCCTTCCAAGCTATGTCCTTGGAGGTAGCTTATCACCTGAACCTGAAAATGATGTTCCCATATAGGGTGAGCCACAGCCCAGTAGAAATATACTAAACCAAATATAAGCATTGAATAAAGCAATAGCATTCAATAGATGGTTAACCAAGATAATCAATTACTTCATTTTACAGTCTCATCTACAGAAGATCTCTATTCTTATTACATATGCCAATACATTGAGCATTAAATCCCAAATCAATGATAGAAAAAAATTAGCTCTAATTCCTAATCTCTGAAGAACACTAAATGTATAACATTTCATTTTGTTTATGTTGAACCCTAAATTATTTACTTATATTAAATTATATTTTTTTTCCATCCAAGGTGCGCCTCACTTTGGTGAGAGCTTGTCTTG